TCGTGTGAACACGCATAACGCATAAGTAAACAAACATGTGTAGATGAAATTACAACTACTTACTTCTATGAATGAATAAATAATCTTTGAGTTATTAGAACTCACGTAAATATTTCTGGTTCATCAACCATGAAATCTACCTCAGTGTCAATCAATATCGACCAGAAAATTTGAATTACGTGTTTATCATGTCAAGTTTAAGTAGTGACTATTATTAACATACTTCAATGTATTATTATTTATTTTATTGCTTTGCAATCTGAGTGGAACATAGAGCTTCAAGCATTGAACTCTGAAGCTTCAGAAGCACTTGTGCTTAATTATTACAGGTTGGGGGTGGATGGGGGCTAACCTCGTGATCAACCATCCCTCATTACTGAGTTTGCTATCAGCTAAGCGAGATTTATGACTTCGTTAGACGGGAATCGGATTCCAGACTACATGGAGCGTCGTTTGTAACAACAGAAGACAAGGGCCAGGCAACAGATCGTTTATTAAGGAAATCAACACATATTTATAGATTTTCATGTACATTATTATAGATTATTGTTAGCAGACAAACACAATCTTCTGATTGTTGGTTGTTTCTCCCTGAAAGTTAATCTTTCATCTCTTTTCTGGCTGTTTCTTGAATGTCAGATCATCTATATGCTAACTGTATCCGCCTACGCAAAGTCTGCTGTGGTTGAATCAGTTGCTGAATCAGACTTTGTTCATATTTTTCTCACGACCAATATTTGAGGACGTAAACATATTGACGTAAATTACCATCTACCAATTTGGCTAGCAGCCAGCTCTCACCACAAGTAGACAAATATTCTGCGCCTGAACTACAGCGACAAACATACTTCACTCAATAGACATTTAAACGAAGTAGATTAAGCTTATATACTACTGATAACTGCTGTTAGTAACAGCACTTTAACGATAAGAGAAACACTAATACAACATAAAATGTTGTATATTGTAAAATGAAGTAATAAAAATGATTTTTCAACATACAATCAAAGCATTCATTACAGTCCTACAGGAGGTCAGTCACGTGCCCAATGAGCTCGTTGCTAACGTATCTGACTCTGCAGCAGTCAGTGACCTGGGTTCGAACCTTAGAAAGGGATGGCATTCCTTCAAGAATGAAAATATATCTTGCTGACTGGTGAGTGCCAGCAATCACGACACCAAGGTGGGTGTGCGAGGGGGGCCTCCTGCTGATTGCCTTCAACCATCTAAAAATAATAATAATGTCTCACAATAGCAGTCCTAAGGTATGCATTTTTGTGTATTACATTACTGAAAACATGATTGCTTTTGTTCGGTGGATATATATGTAATTATTATTTTCAAAGGATCTTACATGAAGAGAGAAAAGGAAAACAACTATCGCTAATGAATTATGCATGCGAAAAAATATTTTTTTTTCCACTCTGTCTAGTGAAGAAATATGATTTCTTCTTGTTATCCTATAAAAGTATATTAGACGGCTGTCAGTGCTTATGACTATGTTGTCCTTATCCACTAATAATATAGATAAACACATGAATAGATAAGACAAGTGAATACGTACGTGTACAGGCTGAAAAAACAACACTGAACTGACTGATAATACAAAAAAAAAACACACAACTTAAGTGCTTCTTTTGAGAAGGATTAGTTTTGCATGTTTCCAGTTGAATCTTATGAGAAGTTGTTCTTTTTGGTCTTTTTATCTCAGTCAAGTAACTGTTATTACTTGTGCATCGGTGACATAGCGGTAGAGTTCAATCCCCGGATGACGCACGCCTTTACCCCACTATATCGTTAACAAGACTGATAAAAAATGGAAGGTTGAATATGAGGCTAGCATTTCCATCGCTTAAAAATAAACACCACTGCTATAGAAACTTTAGAACTCTAGCCTGAAGCCTCATGTTCCACTAGGAATTTAAAGGAATAAAATTTAAATTTAAATTTAAAATATGTTATTACTTATAAGTAGTCGAATATTGTAAAACTTGAGCATGTTCAGCGGTAACGTCTCTGACTGCAGCACTGGGTGACGTGGGTTCGAATCTCAGACGGGACATGAGTTCCTTCGAGGTTCAGAAATGCCTTGCTGATGAGTGCCAACTAGCACGAAACCTAGATCCAAGGCTTCCTGCCGATTGCCTCCAACCATCGAATACCAACAGTTCTAGAATGTTGTTTGTAAATCGTCTTATTCTTTGATCTAATATTTACGTTTATGTGAATGAAGAAATATCTACAGAAAGTTTCGTTTTGTAGCTTATGCAAGGATCGCATCAAAATTATACAATTCTTTTATTAGAATCTCTATTTTTAATCCGAGTTATATTGTAAGTCTAGTGAAAATGAATAAATAAGTTTTCAAGAGTTTGGCTTGTAAGGATTAGATTTGTTTATACGAGTTTGACCACGGATTAATATCATTTAGAGAACCACTGAAAACCCGCAGGGAGTACTGCCAGACAGCTGTTTCAGCGTTCTGCCGATGATTCCCGAACTAGGCGGATGAAACAGCTGTCTGGCAGTACTCCCTGTTGGTTTTCAATGGTTCTCTAATTGATATCAATCCGTGGTCAAACTCGTATCAATAAATACGTGCAAATATTTCACGTGTTGAATTTCTTCGCCGGATGGGGCGGGTTGGTGCAGCTGAAGATGCAAATGAAGTCATGGTAGGGAAGAAACACCTATTGGTTTACTAGTTCATCAGATAATGCTGTGCTTTTTTGTTAAAGTTTCTGGATTCCAGAGTCATCAGAAGTAAATATGATTATACAAGGAGGTCTTATTGATGAGTTTTGTATGTAAAAAAGAAACGAAATGGGAATTAGCTGGCTACAAACTGTCACTAAATGCATACATTAGTTGAAGCCCTATACCATTACAACTATAATTCATATAGTCTGTTAAACAGAAGCAGGGGAAACATGTAATGTTTTCTCAAGGAAAATTAGGTTGAGTTTACTCACATTAAACTCTAAAATTAGGTATACTGACTAAGGGGATATGAAAAAAAACTAATTGTTCAGTAGTAATAAAAATCAATAAATCACTGACTGAAACTGTGAACTGTATTCAGTTTATTTTTTCTTATTATTTAAAATAAGCAGACAGGATGAATTAATCAATATATTTAATTTAAACTTCGTATGACCTTTTCTGATGACATTTCACACTGATTGTTACTCACTAGCATCACTGCTTCTTTCAAGCAATCTGTTTCAGTGAAATACAATGAATATGCAAGTGGAGGGTTAACCACTGTTAACCACATTACATAATGAATTCAACCTAACCATATGAATCGATGAGTTACAGACAAAGACAATCAGTTACACAATCCAATAGCAAAGTCATCTATTCTCTTATTGATTAGTTTTGAAATAATGAACCAAGTTACATATTCAATGAATAACACTATCTACAAGTTAGATCATTTAGGTATAGATATACTTAACTGTGTAGGCCAAAAAGTTGTAAATTCGATCTTATAGTCCAATTACAACAAATGAATCGATATTATATATATGTACATACGATGTATGCTGCTTGTAAAAAGATATAAGTAGTATGTAGACTAGTAGCTTAGAGTAAACGATGAAAATTTTGCTGTTAATGAGTAAACTACACTATAGGAGAAACATAAATCTGAGAGAAACCAAATAAGTACAGGAAAACGACGAAGAGAATATATATTATTTTCAAATAATGTAGTGAATTTTTTTTCTATTCCTTCACGTTCCCCAGTGGAACATAGGGCTTCAGGCTAGAGGCTTGAAGTTTTTGTAGCAGTGGTGTTTATTTTTACGGAATAGGGTTGCTGATCTAATGCCCAACCTTCCTCTTTTACCAGTCTTATTACCGGCTTAGAGAGGTAAAGGAGTGCGTCGGTGGCCGGGGATCGAACCCTGGACCATGTGCATAGTCGGCGAGCGTCCTAACCGCTGTGCCACCGACGCATGTAGTGAATTTAAGGTATATAAATTTCTGAATGTTTGTTGTGTTGTTATTACAACAGCCCATGTACCACTAGTACTTGAAGCATAAAATCAAAGAGGCATCAAGAAAGCTGTTGACAATTTTAAAAGTTGTCAAGTCTCCGTTTCTAGTTAGCCCCTAGTGTATTCGGACAGTTGGTAAATAATGTTTTTACCAGTGTCAATGTGTGTTTCACAGCTTACCCTTCAACCCCACTCCCCACCCTATTTATATTTTTTACACATTAATCTAATCGGAAAAAATTAACAGAATATTCCGGTCAAGATGGGTGAATAGTTTTCTCTTATCAATTACTGTCATTGTCCTCTTCATTGGAGCATAAAAATTGGACATGAAAACTAGGTATACACTTTTGTTGTGATGAGGTTTAATTAAAGCCCAGGTGAAGGTGATCCGTTTGAAGATGAGGCATAGTACTTCATCGGATAACTTCACTTACTGGAAATCTTCCAACCCATTTAGAAGTTTGAACAGAGTTAGATCTTGGGAAAAAATTTTTTATGACAGTAACAATCAACAATACTGTGTAAATCTGTGGTGTGTGCTGCTGAGAAGATTTACCACTAGTATATAAAGAGACATTCATCGGCATAAAAAAACATCAAATAGCAGGAGGGGGTAGATAGATAGATTTAATGTCGGAGACAAAAAATGATACAACCTTGCGCAGATACATGGGAGACGTAAAAGGAACACAAAGAGGTGGCATAACACGGAAGATCTGTGCAAATGGTTCGTTGAAGATAAGGTGTGCCCAATTTAGCTATATAAAAGTACCAATTATCTCGTCTTCCACTGTTACAAATCCCCCCAGTTGTTATCTATCAAAATACACAGTGAACTCTGTCACTCTCTTTCATAACAGTCTCTCAGTATTTGATGGCAGTCTAAATTCAATTTTCGCCTAGTAACCAAATTGTACAGTAGATAAATATGCATAGTTTAATGTAATAAAATCGATTTTCTTTTTGTAGGCAAACAATCGATAAATTACTTACCACGACATTTTGTATCCTCATCAGTAGCCGCTTTAACCGATTTTATTTTTGTTTGATCTGGTGGTAATTGCCAAAGTTGATCATCATCAAAATTTTCAGGTAATCCTTTTATGTACAAATTTGTTCTAGACATTTTTTCAACAACTCCACCATTACTGTTATGATGTTGATGGGATGAATGCGAATGATTCTGATTATGATTATGATGCTGGTGATGATGGTGATGTTGATGATGATTATGTGTGGGGTGAGACATTTTTTGACTTTTAGAAAATTGACCATTACTACTATTACTACCACTACTTCCACCACTAGTGTTCCCAGCACCCCCACCTCCACTACTATTTGTAGAATTATTACTTTGTTCCGATTTCATAGTTACGTCATTTATACTATTCATTGATGCATTCATATTTGTCATATTCGTCAGTTTTGTTGAATTACTATTGTTATTATTATTACTGACACATTGGATTGATTCCGTGGATAGATATTCACGAAGACCATTCTGATCAACTGTATCAGCTAAATCCTGCATAGACTCAGTACGATTGGGATCTGTTGGCATTGGTGAACGCATTTTCATTTCGTCTTCTTGTTGTGTTGTCTCAGAATACAGGTAGGCTTCATTTGATGTTGGCATGTGAAATTGACAGATTGTGTGTTTTTTCTTATATATTTTGTCTGTTCGATTGTTTGTTATCGTCGTGTTTCAAGATGGTGTTGAAATAATAAACAGACTTTGATTACAGCAGTCGCCTTTAATAATAAGTCCTTCCGTGTATATATTCCAGAAATAGGCTCCTGTGTAAAAAAAATACTTCACTGAATGTGAAAAAAGTAATCAATGATAATAATAATTCCCCACAAATGATCTCTATGTTCCTGATGCTTTTGAAAAGAAAACAAAAAGTTCGATGCCTGTAAATTGGTCGACTTTTTGTACGTCTTTGTATGCGTATATATATGTGTGTGTGTTTATGCGTGTCTAAGTTAGTTCTTTACCAATAGATTTTTTTTCTACTTCAGTAAACTCTAGAAAGGTGGAGGGGGTGATCAACACAACTGCTTTGTTTCTCTGTTTTGGAGATGACTCAACTCTAGTTTGAATTGAACTGTGAAACAACAATTTCAACTGTGTTTTTCACAACACTACAACCAGTGTCATATTGACTGGACTCGTAGAGCATTAGTTGGTTGGTGTTTTTTTTTTCCAGCTCTTAGGCAGTCAACAAATTAGACAACGGAGCTTTAAGAGAAGTTTTCTAATACGACAATACTGTGTGTTTGTCTATCTAATTTATTGCTGAATCCTTGATTTTTGTAGGTTTGTAACTGGATAAATGGAATACAAATAGATGTATAGACATACAGACATACATACATACACACACGCATAGTTTTGCACCTGTTTATTACTACTTATGTCTACCACCACTAAATGACGTGAACGATAGATAGACAGGCGGACAGACAGATCAAATGAAAGCATTAACACTACACATAATGATGATAACTCTATTCGGTCTGAGCTGATTATTATTACGTTTTCGTGTGTTGAAGTGCATTTAGTAATGATGACTATCTTAAAACCCAAGAACGCACTCACCTTCACACACACACACACACACCCAACATCTTTATTTACATATGCTAACAAGAATCAGCCATTTGTCAGCGAATAAAAATGAATCAACGGGACAATCCTAATCGGCCAGTGATTGACTATCGAAAATTACATACACAGTACAAAATATTTCTGTACTGTAGGAATTGGCCTTACCAATCTAACTTTGATATGGATATTACACATCACATGTGTATAACATTTGGGAAATAAAATCAGCAGACATGTAGTGTGATTGACAGGAGTTATGGCTTATATAAACGTAGATAATGGCCGACATTTAGACACATCAATACACGCACACACTCACGCTTACACCTCCATATTTACATAGAGAATAACTTTAGGAAGGTAACTTTATGAATTAACTTTCTTTTCATCCTTTGAACGATGGATGAGTGGAAAGTGTGTAATTAGTGTATCGTCAACGGTTCAATTAGGACATTTTTCAATCAAACAGACAGACATGAATAAAAAATAAACGATCACTAGTGAAAATAACAAACCATAAAATAACTGTCGATTCGGTTATTTCTAATGTATTTGATATTGATCAATATCAACCAAATCAATCAATCAATCTATCGACTTGTAAAATTTTAAATGATTATTTTGGTATATTTTACATAAGGGTTACTTGTTTCCTAGGGAATGAACCTCGTAAATAACAGCAATGGACTAATTGTTTATTCTTATGAAACTGGAATGTCTGACGCCACGTCTTAATAAGTCTCTTAGCTGATTATGTACGTTGATCCGTATCCCATTAAGTGATGAAATCCAGTGTCTAGTACCTATTATTTGTTTTTAAGTCACGTTTAATTTCCCTATTGATTGACTGAACCAAAATAAATAATAAATGATGCCCATTCTACAAAAGGTGGTTCCTGTGGCCCGAGTGGTCCAGTGGGTAACGCTTTGGCATTTCAAACAATGGGTACTAGGTTTCAGTTTCATTGGGATCACTATCACTGACTAAGGAATGCAGGAACATTCAGATGAAGAGTCTCAAATAGGATGAAATCCACATTCTGGATTCTGCTGATAGTTATCATCTTGTTCTAAACATCAAGATGTCAACATATCAACAGGAACTAGTCAATTCAGTGTACATAAATTAACAACGGGAGATTACGAGTACTACAAACGCAAAAGCTGTCTTGTTTGGCTCATTAACTTAGTATCTTAATGAAAGAACTCCCAGTCACACTGTACAGATACAGAAACTTACGAGTTTCGAATAAAATAAATTGTTCTAGCTTGACACCTCTAATAACTATCACTGAATGAATGAGAAATAGAGGATATTGAAGTTAATAATACAGAGAGCGTATCTTGGTCAGTAACTTGCACTGTGCATCACAACAATCATTTCCAGCAACCTCTTGCAGACTTTTATCAACAAATGCCTTCAATGGCCCAATATTGAAGATCAAATGACCAGAAAGAATTAGTAACAAGAAACTCTTGGGACAAATTAACCAAGAGCCGATTGCTCAATAAAAATGTAGGAGAGAGTGGAGGTGGATTGGGCCATCTTGCACCAGGCCATTGCTCGAGTGGGACGCGAGTGGGAAATGACAAGTAGGTCGTCAATGCGAGGGCGACATGGAGGCGATCATGTGAGAAGGAGGAGATGAGAGATTACGTGCAATCGTAGGCCCAGTTGAAGAGGATACCAGAAAACAGAAGAAAGTAGAGATGTGCTGTTAAATCCATATTTCCCACTCGGAACCCATGGAGACAATAACAATAATTTGGAAAATAATCAGTTCTACTTAAAGGTTAACAAGTAGAATAGCGAATGTGTAATTGTATTCAGCATGTATCACATGCAGTACCTGTCAAATGATTGAAAATCATATATAGTCATGTTTGGATTGATTTTTCCTTCCACGGAACCGTATTTACCTGTTATATGAGTAGATGAATTGTGATACAGAGCAAAGAAAATCACCAGGATGCATGCCGCCTTTTTTTAATCTATCAGAACAGAATGAAAACAATAAATAACATCGGATGAGACCATTATTGATCAGACTGCCTGCGATAACATCGATGAATCGATCAAGGCTAAGACAATAATAATCTTTTTTTAAAGTAAAGTTATTATTATTGTTTCTTTTAATTCCTAGAGGAACATAGGGCTTCAGCCGTGCGTCTCCATTGCGTTCGGTTCTCTGCTAGAGTCTTCACCTGGCTCCAAGTCTGCCCACACACTTTCATCTCCTTTTTACATGACCTCCTCCAAGTCACCCTTGCACTGACGACCAACTAGCCGCTTCCCTTTCGGGTTCCAATCGAGCAATGACTTGTCTAGTGATGTCACTTGATGCATTGTTTCCTCAGAGTATGGCCAATCCATCTCCATTTCTTCCTGACTATTTGTTTCACAATCGGTTCCTGGTTGGTTCGCTCCCAGAGATCTCTGTTGCTGATCTTTTCTGGCCGTCCATCTGATCTTGAAGTATTGAGCGAAGACAACTGTTAATGAGGGTCTGTAGTTTGTTTGAGATGCTCTTTATGACGCGCTGGCCAAGTCTCTGATCCGTATAGTAGCACTGACTTCACATTGAAGTTGAAAATCCGGATCTTATTTTTGATGCTGAGTGCTGTTGACCTCCACACAGACTTGAGAGTAGTGAAAGCTTGTCTTACTTTTTCGATTCTTGCTTTGATATCCTCGTCAGTTCCGTCCGCCTGTAGTTGAAACGGTGCTTCCCAGGTAGGTGAAAGAGGTTGTTTCCTTCAGGTTCCTTCCACTTATGCTGATTGTTGTATGTTGTTGTTGCTGTTGGTGGTGTTGGCCAGGAATCTCCATCACCTCTGTTTTCTCTATGTTCACCTGAAGTCCTATATTTGATGCTTCTTCTGCCAACTTGTTACTTTTCGCTTGCATATCTTCCGGTTTGTGGAAAATCAGACATATATCATCGGCGAAGCCCAGATCCTCCAAGTTTTTTGTGTGGGTCCATTTTATGCCTGTTTCCTCATTGCCCGCTGTTTGTCGAAGTAAAGTTATTACTATTATAAATAAAACGGAAAGCTTTTTGTAGGTATTATTCATTCTTTAAGTTAAAATTATTTTCAGAAATGCTTGACTTGACAGTGTTTGTTACTTGGAAATAGTATTTGTCATTTATCTCACTATCACTTCAATGGTTCAATGGTCAAATGCTGGCCATCAGTGCGTGAGATTCAACTGCAATTCTCCAGTGGTGCACTTCTAGACCTTGACTACCTTCTAGTAAGCTAGGAAGGAGGGGAGATTGAGTATGAGGCTAGTAATGATAAAAACAACAACAGTGCTACCGGAACCCTAAAAAATTGAAGTCCTGTGTTCTATTTAGAATGCAAGACATGAATCGAAATTATCTCTTTCAGTCATTCTGATACACAAAAGCGATGGAATATTTAAAACCCATCAGTATTACGAAATTTTTTATCATTTGCATTGTCACTTGTTAAATGCTTCCTCAGAGCAGTAGTCATAAAGAATCAATACACAAGTAAGAATTTGTTCATTACGGAGGAGCACTAGATATCTATTTCGTTCTAGCTTGAGATTCTGCAGTAGCCCACAATTATTACATCACTAGGCTTTGCCATCAAAATGCCAGTATCCATTCATAAGATTGGTTATATTCTTCGTGTTTTTTTTCAATAAAACTTGACAGCTAAACGCTGGTTCTTTTAAACACCATTTAGAAGTAAAAATACTGTTACGATGAAGGCGATCAATGAAATACTCGTGGATTATTTATTGATGAGGTGACATCAGGTTTCACTAAATACATTACATATGTTGTCTGACGAACTGTCTCCCAATAACCATAATTATGTGTGGAAATAAGAATGAGGAGTTCACATGTTGTGAGAGAAGTATAAGCACTTGGTGGTCACGTGGGTATCTTACACTAGGAACCTAATGTTTTTTATGTGGTCTCAAATTTTATGAGTCGATGCTTCACTTGTAGAATGCTCCTCAGCCATGTGGGAATCCTGGCTCGCCCGCCTGCCAAAACACTCCTAAACCTCGCCTGACCTGCAGTTTGCCCACTAAAAAAGGGAACGTTGGGCATTGAGCTGTCATTCCCACCCTATAAAACGAACACTGTAACCGCCACTGAAACTTTATAGCCTGGAGTTGTCAGTCTGACGTCACACCTTCTCTGTTTATCGGGCCTACTACCAGCTAAGTGAAGTTGATGAGTGCGTTGGCGGGAAAGCGAGTCCGGAACAAATGCATAGCTGGCGAGCATTCTACCAATGAACCATTCACTCAAACGTTTATAATAACAATAAATATCCTTGAGTTTAAGTCATCATAATCGCCGAAGAGAGACTCTTCGTTGAATTGCATGATTTGTTTTCATTAATGCCTGGATGGGGATTATTCATGAATTAAAACGTAGCAAGGACCCCTCGACAGTCAAGGAACTCAATGGGTTTCTGCGGCACTCTGTCAAGCTTGCTATGGGGAATGCGAAAGTTGGTTTTTTCGAGGATTTCATCGATAATCATCAACATCCAAAATGGTTCTGGAAAGCATTCCAACGCAATCATACATAT